GAAGGAATTTATAATGTACTGCAAGGGAGGCCAAGAGCAGTAAACTAATATCGAGGGGCCACATTTCTACCAATGTGCTGCTAGTGCCACATGCTACCCAAGCAATCGAGTGTCATTTGGGCTCTGACTTGGAACTGATACACACACAAATGACAAAGTCTCTTCATATTAAATTAGCTTAAATTGCAGGATAAATCCCTGTTTTCCTCAGAGGGATTCCCCCTGATGCAGGAAGATGGGCAATGATTCAGTAATAATGTCCTTACCTCTGTGTTTCTTTCTTTGATCTCTCTCCAGAGCAAGGGTCAATTCTGTAGACATTTTTTCAACTCTTGTTGGGTACCAAATGATTTGTTCCTCTCAGTTGTAACTGAATACCCTCGGACATTTGTTCATTAAAATGGGGGTAGCCAAAAGAGGAAAGGAAATATTCAGATGGAAAATATGGGCTCTTTTGCTTTAAAAATCTGTCTTTTCCAATGAGAATTTTTACAAACTTCACACAGGAAGCCCTGTTTGATCTCTCTCTGAACTTTCCCAGCATGCTCAGAAGTGTCAGCCACTCAGCCCCATGATATCTCCCTCATTTGGAGAGAAAAATAAAATATGAAATCCTCCACTGTGATCCATGGATTATTATATCATTTGCTGAGCTGTTTAAGCCCTGAATTAAATGAGCAATCCAATGTATAACATGTATGGGAGGGTTTGCTGGTAGAGGAATTCATCTGACTGGAAGATCGTTTATTTTTCTCATTAAATGGAATGATAGCGAAATGATTGCCTGACTAACCTTGTGGCCACACTCAGCAATAATATGTATATGTGTGTGTGTGTGTGTGATATGTACATATTATATACATATCTGTGTGTATACACACATATATACACACACATATATATACATATATGTATATGCAGTATATATGTTTTAACCTCTACTCTTTCATTTTTAAAGAACCCAGATGAGAACCATAAATAAAAGGCATATGATGTTTTCCAAAAAGAAGCATCCTTGGGACATATCACTGTTAACCATGGAAGAGAATTCCAAATGTGTCTTCAATACAGTCAAAATTGAAAACTAGATTGCTTCACCCTGGTTGTTACACCACTACTAATAACTGGCATTTAGAGAACTTTAAAGCTTGCAAAGGACTTTTGATGGATTATAAGGGAAGCAGTATGGTGCAGTGGAAAGAAGGTGGGATTCAGAATCAGAGTTCCTGAGTTCTATCGTGGCTCTGCTTCTTACCTCTTACAATAAGAAGGAATACTTATATGAATACTCATATGAAGAAAATTCAGGTATCAGAGAAGGATGATTATTTGGGCCAAGACCTATAAAGAGAGAAACTTTGTCATGAGAGTATACTGCAGACCACCTGGTCAGAAAATGGAAATAGTCAAGAAGTTGAGAAATAAATGACAAGGGTACTACAGAGCCACAATATAGTAATGATTGGGGAGAGGGGCAGGGTAGAGGACCTTAATCATTCAGACATCTGCTGGAGCAAAGTCTCTGTTTCTTTGTGTGTCTCTGTGCATGTATATCTCTCCCTGTCTCTGTCTCTCCTCATCCAAAGGCAGAGCAGTTAATAATTCATTATCTTTCCTTAATGACAATAACAATTTCATCTTTCAAGAGAGAGCAGAAACAACAAGGAAAAATTCTATTCTGGATATGATTGTTATCAACATAAAAGAACTGACTACTGGGATAGATAGGAGAACCATAAGAAGAAGTGATCCTTTCCTTCTCCTTTACCAGACACACCAGAGGAGCAACAGTCTGGGAGCTACCCAGACCCCATTTCTTTAATTTAAAAACATTTCTCTACCTGACCGTAACTTCTTATCATTTTATCCTCCCTGTGCCCTCTACAACCTCCAATCCTTCCCCCATCCCCAGTGTTTTCTCAGGCCATTACCCCTAGTCTGACATAATTTTTCTCCCTTTCTAATAAGGACCCCATAGTTATCCAATTCAACACTACATTGTTCTCTACTCTGAATTTCTTGTCTCCTGGTCATCCTTTATAAAACCTCAATCCTGGATTATTCCTACCATTTGTTTGCTCACCTGCTGCAACACCCTTGGAGGAAGTCACACAATCATGCTAACTGTGAACATTATAAATTCATGTCATCTAACTTCCACTGGGCCCTCACTGTAATAAGGCGATAGTTTTATTCCTTTTTTAGTGATTTCACTCCCACACAAAAGCTATTCAAAACCATTTTTCCTCTCCTCAAACCTCCCACAGGTCCCCCCCCACCTTCTCTCTTAGATGAGGACTTCACCTCTTACTTTACTGAGAAAAATGAGGCAAACATTGTGAGCTCCCTCTTCCTCACTTCTTTTCATCCCAAAGTCCCTTAACATCAGCCCCAACTCTCCCACTTTCCCCTAGTCTGTGACAATGAAGTCATCTTGTCCTTCCCAAGGTCAGCTTCTCTTCACATGCCCTTATTCCCACTTCCTCCCATCTTCCCGATAGATTACATCAACCACCCCCTCCCAATTATGATCCCAACCTCTCCCTATCTATTGGCTCCTTCCTTATTACCTTCAAAAATGCCCAATTTTGCCCCATCCTTTAAAATATTCTCTAGATCTTACTATCCCTTCAAACTACATCCAATATCTGTCCTTCGTTTCTCAGCCAAAAAAGCTGTGTTATCTCTAATTCCTCTCCTCTCACTCCTTGACCATTTGCAGTTCTATTCATCACCCAATCAAAAATACTCTCTCCGAAGTTACCAACACTCTTTATATTTCCAGATCTCATGGTCTTTTCTTAGTCCTCCTTCTCAACAGATCTGCTGTATTTTTCACTGTTGAGACTCCCCCACAAACAGATGCACACACACACAAACACACATCACCTCTCTCTCCTCTTGTTTTTCATAACACTACTGTCCCCTGGTTCTCCTAACTATCTTCTCAGTTTACTTTGCTAGCTCATAATCCATAGATCATGGTCCAAACTACAGTTGTTTTGCAAGACTCTGTTCTAGGCTTGCCTCCTACACTCTCTCTCATCAGCTCTAACACATCATCATTGTATCTGCTTTTTCATGTAGGTGATTCACAGGTCTGTACATCCAGCCCTACTCTCTCCCCTGAGTTTCCATGCCACCAATTGCTTCTTTGCATCTTTCTAATTGAATCTACCAGAGATATTTGAAATGACATGTCTAACGCAGAAATTGTGGTCTTTGCCCATAAACCCACTTCTCTTCCAAATTGCCCTCCTGTTCAAAGTGCCTCCATTCTTCCTGTCTTCCTGGTTTGTCATCTATCTCATGGCATCATCGTTGATTCTTCATTTTCCCTTACTCTACATTTGCAACATTGCCAAGTTTTGCTTTTTTCACCACTGCATCATCGCTTGATTCTGACCCTTTCTCTCTTCTCACAGAGCCACCACTTTAATTCAGGCACTTGTCACCTCTTGCTTACATTTTTGCAACAGCTGCCTAATTGGCCTTCATGCCTCAAGTCTTTCCCCACTCCAGACCATCCTCCACACAGCTGCCAAAGTTATTTTCCTTAAGTGCAGATCTTACCACATGACTCCCCTACTCAATAAACTCCATTAGCTTCCTAATGTCTCTAGGATAAAATATACACTCCTCTGTTTAGCTTTTAAAGACCTTCACAATCTGGCCCCAACCTATCTTTCTAGCCTCATTAGGCATTACTCCACCTTCCGCACTCTGTGATCTGGCCAGAATGACCTTCTCTATTTAACTGACACAGAACATTCCATCTCCTGTCTCCATGTCTTTGCATTTGCCATCTCCCATGCCTAGAACACACTCCCTTGTTACTTCTGCCTTACAAAATGCCTCTCTTCCTTTCAGAGGCAGCCTAAGACGTTGTTGTCATCATCACTGTTGTTAGTCCTGTGTTCTCAAAGTAGCTCAAAAGCCTTTCATGCTTCTCCCAATTGCTAACGCCTTCCCTTCTAAACTATCTTCTATTTAAATACAACTATCTCATATTTGAATACTTTGTATTTATTCTCTTGTTATTTATTCTACATGTATATACTTATCTATGTACTTGTTGCTCCACCATTAGAATGGAAGTCCCTTGAAAACAGGTATTATTCTTTGTATTTGCATCTAGCACAGTGCCTGGCACATAGTCTGACCTCAATATAAGTTTGCTGATTGATTAACTTCCTCCTAGAGTTTGTGGTAATGAAGGAGGGAAAATGGGGACATATATTACCTGACTACATTCATTCTAGATTTGGGGGAAAGAATTTTTCAAAAAGTGCCAAGAAAAGATAGTCTAAGTTCCATGGTCTAAAATTTATCAGTCTAAGTTCCATGGTCTAAAATTTATCAGAGGAATTCAGCCCAGAAGAAATGAGAAACTAGATAAATAAATTCAAAAGACACAAGGGAAAAGAATTCTGATTAGGAAGAAAAAGTAAGAGTTATTTGAAGAAATTGATATGGATGCACAGAGATCTTAGTAATCAACATAGATTTTCAAAGACACCTATGGAAGATGAGAGAATAGCCAGGTTAATACAAACAAAAATAAATAAATAGAGGAATGAAAGAACATGAGACATTGCTACAGAAAGAGTGTCCGGAGGGTTAAAGTTCAGAATGAGATGAGGATGGTAGGGAAAGCTAAGGACAATAAAAATGAAGTTGCTTGTTTTTAGTTATACTGGTAAAGGGATATGACTGACGATTGGAGTGGATAGGACAATGACAACTGACAACTAAGAGAAAGCAGAGCTGCTAGGTTCTTATTTTGCTTCTGTTTTCTTTGCCAAGGAGAATGACCTTTATTCTAGAAGTGACAAAGAAAAAAGTGGCTAATGGGGAACTGACACACAAGATAAGCATGGAAATAACAAGAGAGCCCCTACCTGCCCTTGATGATTTCAAGTCAACAGGCTCAAATGAACTATATCTGTGGCTCCTGAAAGAAATGGCAGATGGGATTGCTGAGCCATTGTCAGAGATTTCAAAGATCAAGCCCATCAGAGGAGGTATTGAAGGCCTGGAGAAGGGCAAATTTTTCCATTTTCAAGAAAAGGAAAAGAAGTGAGTGTACAAACTATTAGACCATTGACCTTGACCTTGACTCTTGGCAAAATTCTAGAACATATAATTTTAAAAATAGAGAGCTTATAGAAAAGGAAGCAGTTATTAGGTAGCACCAGCATGGCTTCCTTAAGCACAGGTCATGACAGAATAATCATATTTCTTTTTTCTGACAAGGCTACTAAACTGATAGATCAGGGAAATGCTGCAGATGTAGCCTGCCTAGATCTTCACGAAGTATTTTCTAAGTAGAAATTAGCACTTTTCTAGTAGAGAAAGTGGAGGGATGTGGACTAGTTAATAGTTCAATTAGACGGATTCATAACCTATTGAATGGCTAGACTCAAAAAGTTGTCATTAATGATATGATGTCAATTTGACAAGAGATCTCCAATAAAGTGCCCCAAGGATCTATGTCTAGCCCTGTACTCCTTAACATTTTAAACAATGTTTTGGATAAAAGTATAGATGGAATGCTTTTTTGCAGATGACACAAAGCTTAGAAAGATAGCCAAGTCACTGGATGACAAAGATAAAACTCAAGAGGGAAAAAATGTTAAGTTTTATACTTTAAAAAAAATCAACTTCGCAAATACAAAATGGAGAGGTATGGATAGGCAACAGTTTATCTGAAAAAGATATAGTGACCTGCAAGGTCACAATGAACCAACAATGTGATATAGTAGCCAAAAACAGCCTTGGGCTACGTTGGAAGAGTCATAGAGGTATAATAAGGTGATAATCCCTCTGTGTTCTACCCTGGTCAGAACATAACTGGATCATTCTGTTCAGTTCTGAATGACGCAATTTATGAAGGACACTAATAAGATGGAGAGCATCCAGAAGAGGGCAAAAAAAAGTGATGAAAGACCTTGAGTCCATGTCAAATGAAAACTGTTTTGAGGAACCAGGGACAATTAATTAGCCTGAGAAGAACTGAGGGGGAACATGAGGCAGCTTAGTATGGTAGAGAGCTGGACTTTGAGTTACAAAGACCTTGGGTTCATATCTTGCATTGAATACATACTATTTATGTGACCCTAAGCAAATCTAAATTATTTCAGATTCAGTTTCCTCATCTATAAAATGGGGTGAAATAGTAGTACCCACCTCAGGGGTAGGAATAACTGAAGTATATACAACATATTTGCTAGTATTATCCAAGTTCTGGCAAGTAGAAGAGGAATTAGATTTGTTCTAATTGGATCCAGAGCGTAAGACAAGAATTAATCAGTGGGGAAGCTGCAAGGAAGCAAATTTTATTTATCTTTAATTTATAGAATAAAACAAGCATTTCAATAATATACTATAATTAAAAAAAAGATTCCATATGAAACTGCAAATCTATTATGTACAACTTGCTATTCCTTTTAAATATATAATGAAGTTATCATGTAAATTTCTTTTTTTTCCCCTTTCTTTTCTTCCCTCCCCTCCCCTTCAGCCAAATTTAAGCTGGATGCTAGAGGAAAACAGTAACAACAATAACAACAACCCCTAACAATTAGAGCTATCAAAATGTGGAATGGGCTGCCTCAGGATGTAGCAAGTTATTCTTTGCTGGAGGTCTTCAAGTAGAGGCCAGATGGCCACTTGCCTGGGGTTTCTTTTCTAGTATGGATTGGACCAAATAATTGCATAGGTCCCTTTGCAAATTGAAATTCTGTGATATTTCTGTGAAATTCATTTCTCTGGGCCTCAGTTTTCTCATTTGCAAAATGACATGATGGGACTAAATGACTTCTAAGGTGCCTTCTAAGGATCTATGATCCTACAAGCTCATTTGAGCCTCACAACAATCCTGAGGTTGGTGCAATAGGTCTTATTTTCCCCACTTTACTAACAAGAAAATTGACTAGAATTAAGCAACTTATGGTCACAAAGCTACTCAGGGTTGGAGATGGGATTCAAATTTGTCTTCTTAATTCTAAGTCCAGCACACTATCCACTGTGCCAGGCTGCCTGTCATTTCTATAGATGCTATGTCCTTTTCTCCTGTCCTTTTCTTGTCTCTCCATAATATCCTTGAGAGAAGGCATCTTAACTTTTATTTCAGTTGAAGCCCCTTCTCACTGACCTAATAGGATATCTGGTGTGGGGCTGTTTACACAGGGGGAGCTCAATCAATGTTATTGACTTACAGCTGCACTTCTTCAAAAACCAGGACCCAGGTTCATCCCAACAGGCTTCACAGCTTAAGCAGAAATAAAGAAATAAGCATATGGGACAGGAAATCATAGGCGCAAGAGATGGAAAGCTTATTTGCACCAACCTGTCCTCTTCTGAACAGTTGGTGGCAACTTGCCATCAGCTCATTTTTTTCCTGGCTCCAATGAGCTCCTATGGAAAATTGCCTACAAAAGGAACCATTCTTAATCCCCAGAGCGAATCCCAGCCAAGAGCTCAACCAGAGGGGAATACCAAATGCTCAGAATTGTTGAATAATTTGTCCCATTTCTTAACATTCAATTCAGATCCATAAGTATTCATTACAAACCTAAAATGTATAAGACTGCATGCTAGCTGCTGGAGGTGATACAAAGATGCCTTAGACATGGTTCCTGATCTCAAGGAGCTTATGGTCAAGGAGGTGCTCTCAGAAGTATACACAAATAAGAATAATGTTAGGGACAATATGAAAGTGAAATTTTTTTAAAGGTTAAAAATATGACATCAGTTCAGAAATAATAGAGCTTCAGAAAATCTGGATGGTACAGCGGAAATAGCCTGTTTGGAGCCAGAAGGCCTGAGTTCAATTCCTAGCTCTTTCATTAACTAGCTGTAAAGATGAGCAAGTCACAACCTCCTTGTGAATCAGTTTCTCCATATATAAAATGGGATAATTCTTATAATACCCATTTCAAAGGGTTATTGTGTATAAAATACTCTACAAACTTTAAGCCTCACATAGACATGAGCTATTGTTATCATTTTCCACTGGAGGACCTATGGAAGCTTCTTATAGGGCTCTTGCCACAATAGCATTTCCATAAATGTTATTCATTGACAGCTGCAATTCTACAAAAGCCAGGGCATGTCTTTACTCCCACAAGCTTCACAGTTTACCCAAAGATGGAGAAATGAGCATATGGGAATGGGAATCATAGGATGAGCCACTCAAAACTGACAATCATTTATGGAAATTGTGTGGATTTTCTTTGTATTTGGCTGTTCCGTGAATAAGACACCCCATGTCTTGGTTACAGTCATTCTCTCTGGCTGTCCCCTACATTTGGAAATCTTTCCCTCCTCTACTTTGACTACTTGACCTCCTTGGCTTCAAGTCCCAACGAAAATCCCACCTCCTACAGGAAGCCTTTCCCAACCCCTCTTAATTCCAGTGCCTTTCTTCTGTAAATTATTTTTATTTATACTATATATAGCTTACTTTGTATATATTGGTTTACATGTTGCCTGTCTATTAGATTACTAGCTCCTTGAGACTGTCTTTTGCCTCCTTTTGTATCCCCAGTGCTTACTTAGTACAGTGCTAGGCACATAGTAAGCACTTAATAAACAATTATTGAATTGAATTGAATTTTATGTGTATAGGCATTTTAATTGGTGTTTTGAACAATCCCCTTCTTTAAGGAGCAACAGGGGGCACTAATACACTGTTGATAGAACTGAGAATTAGTTCAACCCTTCTAGATTCCAATTTGGAATTATCAAAAAAAAAATGACTAAACTTTCCCTACTCTTTGACGACCTAGCAAGCCCAGTCGGGCTTATACCCCAAGGAAATCGAAAACAAAATGAAGATTTAGTTTATGTCAAAATATTTATAGCAGCATGTCTGAAAATAATAAGAAATTAGAAACAAAGTGGATGTCCATCAACAGTAAAATGGCTGAAAATCCACAGCAATGAATGAAATGGAATGTGATTGTATAGTAAGAAATGAGGAATATGAGAAATTCAGAGAAATGTGTAAAGATTTGCATGAGCTGAAAAGGAGTGAATTAAGCAGAACCAAAGGAACAATTTTCACAATGATTATAACAATATAAATGTAAACACAACTTCAAAAAGAAGTGAGTGGACATGTTGGAGCATCAATCAATCCATCAGTCAGGCATTTATTCAGCCACAATTCCCTCCTCACAGCAGAGAAATCAGGAAGTATGAGAGAGGAATTTTTTATATTATCAGATGCAATCACCGTACTATTTTGCTTAGTTGCATTTCTTTGCTACAAAGAGAGGTGGGGTTTCGATCTAGAGTAGGTATGGGGGAGAGTGTGTATTTCTAGAAATGTAAAAACAAAAGGCATCCTTTTATTTAAAAAAAATTAAAAGCAACAAGTCAGAGATAGCTATGTATGCGAAGACATTCCTAAGATTTCTTTACTGCTATTACCCAATCTGACTGATGTCCACAGAATCTACAAGGCTTTCTTGAGAGAGAAAATAACATTCATTCCAAGAACGAGTAAGCACAGCGGGTAAGAGTCCAGAAGACCTGAGTTCAAATCCTGTGTCAGACATTTAATAGCTATATGATATCACCTAATTTTTCTCAGCTTTCTGGGCAAATCACCTAATCTCTCTCAGCCTCAGTTTCTTCATCTATAAAACAGATAATAACAGTACCTACTTCACAGGGTTGTTGTGAGGATCAAATGAAATAACATGTAATGCTTTGCATATCTTAAAGTGCTATATAAATGGGAACTATTATCATTATTACATCTGTACTGCTGCCATCTTAATTCAATTCAACTTAACAAGCATTTATTAAGTACCTACTATGTGCAGGGAATTATCAGCTCACATGTAACCAGCTCTTGATTGGCCTCACAATATGCAACCAAGTACCACATTCACTTTAAACACATCATTTTCATGGGTTTTTTATTCCACCATTCATGAACTCAAACTAAAGTATTAAATGCAGAACCAAAGAAAAACTGCACATTTGGTTTTCAAAGCCATCCAAGGCTTGATGGAGTATACACAGTGCCACATGGCAGGAAAGCCTGAGATGTTGAAGGTGTTGCC